CACAGTCGCCCCAAAGACCACAGCAGGACTTATTCTGGGAAAGACCCTTTACAGAAGCTTAACCATCACTTATTGCATTGTGCTGCGACGCCAGCTGGACCCAAACACAGTGAAGCAGCTCAACCTCAGCTTCGGCGTGTCCGGGGCCCCGGACCAGGGCCCGAAGGCTCCCGGCTGTAAATCAGAGCGATTCCTCGGGAGAGAGTCGAGCGCCAAATTCACCCGTCGTTCCTCGGGAGATGTTCTGCGTGCCGATCTCATGCGAGCGGAAAACCGCAGATTCTGAGAAAGCGTTTTCACATGAGTGATGACGGCGCTGCTGCTGCCAGGCCTCTGGTTTTCCTGGAAATGTTTTTTTTTTTTTTCTTTGCTGTTTTCCGGCGTTAGCGCTCTAGAAGAGCCGCGGTGGAGTTGGGGACTAGTTCAAGTCCCTGCTTTTGATTTATTTATGTGTTTATTTACACCAATTCCTGATGGGAGTTGCTGTAAAGCCTCTCAAGGAAAGTTCAGGCTTTCTTTTAAATAGAAGGTAAATGTGTCTCACTGAGAGATATCATTTGTTTTCATAAAAACTCAGGAAGAAAAAAAAGCAGCTCAAGTCATCTAGCGTCTGATCGATCAGCATCCGATCGGTCAGATGTTGATCGATCAGGGCTCCTTCCTGGAAAGTCTGGAAAAGCCTCAAATTGATTTGTTTTGCAAGTTTTCAGAAATTGCTGCAACATTTTTTTTACATTTTCAAACTGTATTCCCCGTTCAACTGTCTAGGCTGTGTCTTTTCATCCTTTCCTTTCCTTCCATGCTTCCTGTCCTGTGTTCTTACGTTCTTCCTTTCCTTTCTTTCTCACATTTCCTTTATTCATTCTCTCTCTTTCCAACCTTGTTTCTGATTTCTTTGTTTCTATTCAAGCTTTTAAAATTCCCTTTTTTCTCTCTGTCCTTCCTTGCGTGCTTCTTCTCTTTTCTTTTGTCCTTCTTTGCTTCCTCCCGTCTTTCCTTGTGTCCTGCTGTCCTCCATTCCTTCTTTCTGCCTCATTGTGTCCCTTCGTCCTTCTGTCTTTAGTTCATTCCAGAAAACGATCTGGATTTTGTAGATTTGTTCTAAAGAAGTATGTTTTTTTCCTAAAGTTAGGGCAACGCACACAAAGCTGAGTGAAAAACAAAAAGACGTTTTCTACAAGATGGTGTCCTTCACTGCGACCATGAGGGGACATGAGGGCCCTCATGTCGTCCCCCCGCCTCCCCGTCGCTCCCCGCTCCCTCATTAAATGCATCATTTGCCTCAGTTCCTCCGACCCTCATCTTCCTCTGCAGTCCTCTCCGCAAATCCAGGCTCCCTGTTGATTTGCGGCTTCGCGTTTCCCAAACGCGCATCACCCCCACGTGCAATCTGGTGCTTGTGACTGCAGTTTCTGTGTCGTGGAAATAAAAGTTGCAGCGTCATCTGAGCAACTCGGTGAATCAGACGGACCGCAGCCAGATGGTTTCGGGTCGCAGGGGAGTTTTGGTGGAGGGAAGTTCTGTCTGACGAATGATTTGTTGCCTATCTTTACTGTGACCTGTACACAATAACATCATTGATGCTGTGCAGTCATTCATCTGCTTTAATTGTGCTTCACTTCCCGAACGTACAGTAGAAATCTGACGGTTTGGTCATGACCCATGAAATCCCTTCACCTCCCCTTCCCCCCCCTGGGAATTTCCCCTAAAAGAGCCGGAGCTTCTGCAGGTGGACCTGAGCTCCAGGGATTTACCCACTTCAGCTATTAACTAAAAGCAAACATGCAACACATCAGTTGCTAGATAGCAGAGGGTTTGCTACCATAAAGAGTCAAAAAGGCAAAAGTTTTCCATCCCTTACTTCTTTCAAACCACAGAGTTCTCCATGATGATAGAATCGCTGTGAAACGTACTGAAGTTTATGGTTGTGACATAACACATGAGACTGTAAGACAATCTCCAGCTTCCTCAGTGATTTTTTTTCCCCCTCAGATGTGAGGGAAAGTGAACATGCACAAGTTTCAGTTGCTGTCGCCAAGACTTACAATCGTGGATTACTCAGAAACTCAGTTGGTCTGTCCTGGCTGTGCTCCCTTCAATCAGACTGCATTCTGGGAATTGATTTTTTTTTTATCTCCAAATGAATGAGTCTGATGTTGGGGGGTAAAACCTGCTGGATCAGCACAGTTTTGCTTGTCTTTGCTGCTTACAGTAAGCTCTGACTGTGTCACCAGAGCATCAATCATTAAAGGGCCTGGAATCAAGTCCATACACATTTATTGAGACGAGGGGATTCTTGGGGCTTTTTACTGTAAATCCACTGATGATAGATTCCACGCACAAAAAGTGGAGAATCTGTGTCCGGTTTAATCTTCAGTGCCTGAGTCAGTACCTTTCAGTTTTTTTGTTGCGGCCGTATTATCAAAATGTGTGACATGAAAACAGAAATAGGAATCCCTAAGAGGGGTTGGGAGAGAAATTCCATCTTCATATCTGTGAAATGTTGACGTTGATGATCTTTGGTGTCCAATAATTAGAAGTTCCTCGAATCTTGGTCTGCGAAAATTCCTCGAAGTCGTTGCGCTGGACGGAGCGGGAGTTCTCAGAAATACAAACTCGCATTCTTGAATCGTTTCCATCGTGGCGTTAAGTGTTTGAACTCGAGTTGCATTGGAAGTCAAAATATGTTCACAGTTGCGCTGTTGTTGGACATTTCATTGGAAAGTTTTGACTCAGAAGGCCCTAATCTAACAAGATGATGTATTACTTCCAACGTAGAACATGCATGGTTCTGGTTGGTAAACCCGTGAAAGAACCGTCCAACTTAATCTCCTCACAATGGATTACATTTCCCGTCATCTCTTCTCTTGTAACGGAGCACGTCGGCCCAGCAACTAGCCAAATCGGAGACATACGACACTTCTGAGCCGTTTCCCAGAGATCGTATCGGTCCGCCGAAGCATTTTTGTGTTCGGCTCGCATCTCTTCTCTGCTTTTGATTAGCTGCCGTCCGAGTTGACTCCAGCTCCATTTGTCTCGCTGAGCGACTGCGACGGCGGCTTTAGCGTCTTTTGACAGATAATAAAGTAGGTCAGGGAATGAAAGTCGAGCTGCGGATAGAACAATGTCGGAGGACAGGGAGGGAATCAAAGACGAGAGGGCCGAGAGATTAAGGACTTGAAAATTATTGTTGGCATTAGAGCTCCGAGAAGAAAGTTTCCCATAAGAGTTTTTGAAACTTGATACAAACGCTCTTTTTATAGATTTGGATATTTCTCCCTGGAGGAATGCACTTTTCCTAAAACCCGGAGACTCTGAGCGACTCTTCAGGCAATCAGTTGAAACTTTACGTCTCTCAGCCCGTCGCATACATTCCATGTTGCGTTTTTTCTGGTACCACAGAAGCTGAAACCGGCCCCGGCAGGGCGGGGAGCGTGCAAGAAGCAGCAACATGACATCACTTGGCTGCTGGAAGTGGGTTTTAATTCGCACTTTATTTCCTGGCTGTAAATCTTCTAACACTCTCCGCAGTTTATGGCGTTTACCTTAATAGTCCGCGGGAGTCGAGGCCACAATCAAAGAAGTTCCTGGAGTGTTTCCGGTCGTTGCTTGAGTTGTCAATGTCAGCGATGCTGGTAACTGTTCCAGTTCCCTATTTTTGTCAGTGTTGGAGGGACTTTCGAGAGACAACAACTGAAACATGACTTATCAAGTGTTGTACAGGCGAATCTTACTCTTGAGGAGAGGAATGGTTGAGTCAATGTGCTCTCTTAATTATATTGCCACATCCTCCAGGAAAACCGTAGACTGTGATAGATCATCTCGGTGAGCCATCTTCCAAGGGAAATAAGTGGGAAATTTCTGCATAAAGTCCAAAGTGACTGTCATTGACATTTGTCATTTTATATAAAAGCTCTTCTGGAAATTTTTTAGGATAGCAAAACATGTCCTTAATCACTCCAAGTGTGACAAGTGTGGGCCTTGACAGTATTAGCTGTGTTGAAAGGAGTGATTGTGGAATAATCCAAGGCCTTTGTTCCTTAAGACCCAGGTGTTGCACCATTCCAGAGTTTGGTTTGGTTAAAGCAACAAAGTTATTTGGTTAACTGTTCCCACTCTGCAAATACGCAGCGTTTATCTTCTTTGTTTGCACGTCACCGTGTGAGATATTGCACTATGAATGGATAAAAAAAAAACCAACAAAATATTTAACAAAGGCTGAACTCAAACAACCGAGAAGTAAAAGTCAGGTTGTTGTTTTCTAAAGCAGAGATTTGAGCAAAAACAAGCCCGGTATTTTCTCGGCGTCCCTTAATGTCACACATGAGGCCCCTGAACCCTTCGCTGCACGTCTTACACTGCATGGAAAGAAAGAAAGAAAGAAAGAAAGAAAGAAAGAAAGAAAGAAAGAAAGAAAGAAAGAAAGAAAGAAAGAAAGAAAGAAAGAAAGAAAGAAAGAAAGAAAGAAAGAAAGAAAGAAAGAAAGAAAGAAAGAAAGAAAGAAAGAAAGAAAGAAAGAAAGAAAGAAAGAGTCACCTTCTCTGGTTATAATGGGGTATTACAGTACAAAAAAGAAGAAAGCATCCTTGAACTAAGGTTGAGCTCAGGTAACATTGGATTAAAATCCAGGCTGAGTTCAGAAGCTATTAGGATATTAGGTAACATTTCAACCCTGCAGCTAGCATGTATGCACATATTCAATCTGAAGCTCGACTGCGGCAGAAACCCAAACCTTCCACACCTGCCTAAAACATTTAGAACATCCCACTGAGTTCCAGATTAAAATTCCTGGCCGGTTTGTCTCCAGCCGTTCTGGAGGCTCTTTAAAAGCATTTCTCGGACTTTGACTGAGCCTTCCCTCGCCTTGTTCTTGGTCTTTTGAAGTTTTGTTCGACTGGAGTCTCGTGGCGTAAACGATCGGGTGTTAAACACCGAGCTTTTCTCCCCCCCTCGGTGCCTGTGACGTCCCTCGACACCCGATACGGCCTAAAGGTCAACACCGAAGGCAAACAAGAGTCGAGTGAGCCGAAGAGAATTTGCCAACAAAATTTCAAAGAGGAAGCGAAACTCGAGTGGACAAAGGAATAAAAGCTTCAGTCGGGGCGGCTTTGAAAGGTCAGTTTCAGTGCTAATTGAAATCACAAACACTTGACTTCGGATTCACACGGCGACCCGACCCAAACAAAACACAATGACATCGCGATTCTTCGCAGCGGAGTTCGGGACGGGCTCTGGACGGCCCGGGTCAACAGTTGGACCGTGCGGAGACCGTTTGCTCGCAGCGCAAACACGCTCATCAATCCGAAGCCCTCGTATCTGCCAAAACACCAAGTGAATTACGATCCCTCTCATGGGAGCGCAGCACTTATCTCGCCGGACCTCACCAAGTCATAAAAGCAGGTCGGTGTGAGTGCAGCCTGCGAGCGCGATCTGGAACTCGGAGCGCGTCTTCAGAGAGTTCATTTGTTATCGTGGAGCTGGAATGTCTCAATGTTTAAAGCAGGAATAGTTTGGCAGAACAGCGAACCGAATGATATCTGAGGGGAATTATAAAGCGTTTCCTGGGCAGGAACTCTCCCTCAACTCTGGAAGACACTGAACATTTTTGTTTCTTGCGATCCTTTGAGTTAACCTTCACCAAACTGTAAGGACTGGGGTTTTTTTGTTGTTGTTGTTGTTCTTGTTTAAATGTCCATATTGTTGGAGCGATATCAAAACTAACTCCAAACTGCATATGTGACGACTGAGCTCCAACAAAAGAAGGAGTCGAGGTGGCCATCTTGGGGAGGGAATCGTCCAGTGGGAACCCTAATCTGGTCACGCACAACAGTGGAGTTCATTTGTTAGATTTTTTACTTTTTTGCTAACTTTGAAAACATTTATCTTTCCCTTAATCATGTTTCCTGAATCAATTCTAAACAACTAATTCACTTGGCTATTTCGTTGCAGGAACTTAGTTTACATTCTGGTCACATGAATTATTCATATATTTCCTAAAATATATCTATGCATGTAGCCCTAAGCATTAGGTAGATTACTTGTTTGTTGGACGCAAACAAACTTTAATGTTATTTTTGGCTGCAACCGAATAAAGTTGCAGAATGTGCATGCGGCGGAATGGTTGTTTTTATTTTCTAGTACCTCAACTAAGAGAAGATTCAACTCAATGACAACCTGCCTTTAGTTTCTAATTCCTGCAGCCATGCAGGAAGAAGCCTTCAGGAACATCACTGCAGGCCCCGCCCCCTCTGAGGAGTCAGCATCGCCCGCGCACGGAGTTGACAAGTGCGCCTCCCTCCTCCCCTCCTCTCCAGAACGTTGTTTGACAAGCCCATCTTTATAGGCTTCGCCGGAGGCAGTTTCTTTCATACACACACACAAAAAAAAGGAGAAAAAAAAGCGCAAAGCCGCAGAGTCTCCATTCTGCTCTCAGTGCGGGTGGAACAACCTGCAGAGCCGCAGAGGGAATCAGGAGGGACTGAGCATCACTCTGAGCTGGACTGGACAGTTTTGGAGGATTTTGGACTCGCTGCTGGTTTCAGATGCACCTGTGGATGCGCCTCTCCATCTGGATTTGCACAGGAATCCCTGCGTGCCGCAGCTGATATTCCCTCCACTGCACCAACCCGCGGTTTTGCTTTTTTTTTTTTTTCTGCGTGCTTTTATTTCATCTTCCTGCATAAGAGGAGAGGCTTGCACGATGCTGCTGGGACTCCTCTTCCTGATGGCGCTGCCTCTGCTGAGCGTCGCGTCCTTCGTGCCCTGCGAGCCGTGCGACCCGAAAGCCCTGTCCATGTGCCCGCCGGTGCCCGTCGGCTGCCAGCTGGTGAAGGAGCCCGGCTGCGGCTGCTGCCTGACGTGCGCCCTGGAGGAGGGCCGCGCGTGCGGCGTGTACACGGGGCCGTGCGCGCGCGGGCTCCGCTGCCTGCCGAAGAGCGGCGAGGAGAAGCCGCTGCACGCGCTCCTGCACGGGCGCGGGCTGTGCGCCAACGAGAAGCTGCACAAGCTGCAGCATCCACCCAAAGGTACGCGGCGCCATTGCAACATGTTCATGCAAATATGTATTACCCAGAAGTCTCTGTTCATGTGACCTCATGACCTCTCTCTGCAGTCAGGCTGCAGATGTTGGTCTGAAAGAGTTTCCATGTCCCTTCTTTTCACTTCTGCCCTCTTTCATCTTTTCTCTTCCTCGTCCGCCACCTGTGCCTTTCCTCACATCTGACCTCGACTGTTTTGTTCTCCCGCCATCAGAGCATCTTCTCCTCTTTCGCCCGCCTGGCAACCGTCCCTCTTTGTCCCCCCCTCATGTCTCCTCATGTCTCCTCCTGTCTCCTCCTGTCTTACTATTAGTTTTCTCTTTCCATTCCCACCTCAAACTTCTTGGTTCGGGTTCCTGCACTTTGGTTTCTGGTTCTACACTGTAAAAAAAAGTGGGTATTAAATTATAGTCAATAAAAATCACCTGTTTTAATCAAGGGGGCTATTTTTTAAATCCAACATTAAACCATTTTTGTTGAAATATTCTATTTTCTATTGAGCTTTAAACTATCAACTTTTTTTTTTTCAGGTTTTTATTCATACGCCTGAAAAATCATATTGACTTATTGTTCTCTGCCGGACATATTCAACAATTGACTGAATTATAAGGATGTTTGCGAGGAATTAGTTGTCACATAAAGTCTAAAATGTAATATTTTTGATTGGATTTTTTTTTTAAAATTAATAATCCCGACTCTTTTTGACCGTTTTGCCTGCACCGTCCTCTTCTCTTCCCCTCACCGCTGTTTGGTTAGGCCTCTCCCTCCGTCATGTCGTCCCTCCGCCCCTCTTCATGTCAGGCTGCGCTGTGATTCAGCAGAACGCGGGCTGAGCGTGGGTTTACATACCCGCCGTCTGTCTGCCCGTAAGCCGGCTTCCCACTTAGCTCCTGCGGTGCAGGACCGTTGCTGGAAAAGCCGAACCGGACCCAAACGGAGGCTTCTTCAAACTAAAGGCGCTTGAGGAGAATTCCTAACCGAGCCAGAGAGCGTGTTTGAAATTCAGCTGTCGTTTATTGCTTCAGACATGGACATTTAGTTGCGTCTTTTAGTTGGATCGGTTCCTTCCTATTATCCAGATGTCAAATGAAAAAAAGCTGAGCCAAAAATGGCCCTGAAAAAACAACAACCAGCTTTTACAGCGAAAAGAGAGGGAAGAATGACAGATCAGATTAAAGCCGCATGAGGATTAGCAAGTGAAGACTTGATTGGACTAACACTGGCTGATGACCTGCCTCAGCAATTTCCCAAGTGAAGACAAAATGGGAATCATCACAGCGACGGGATGAATGACGTCATCGGCCATTGTCATTGGTGGAGGGGGTTCGGGGGGGGGCTTGGTAGGTTTTAAGAGGCATGTATTCAGGGAGGCCGTGGCCTTGTTTCATCACTCGGTTGGCTCAGTAGATTAGCGATGACATCAGAGGTCGCCATAATGAAGCGGAAGCGAGCGCGTGACACAGCAGTGGAAGTGGGCCAACCAGCGCTTGGGTCACGATTCGCAGCCGATGCTGATGTCCAGGCCTGTAAATCAAATGATGTGTCCGTTTGAAAAAGTCTCAGGGACAGAAAGCCACATCCACTCCGTCTGTGGTCAGCAAAGGAGCTGCGGTCGCCTGAATAGAGGGTGGGGACAATAAGGGAACGGGGCGAGTGCTGAGGTCTGTGTTCGACACCCCAACATTTTGCAAGAGAGATGAAAGGGTCAACGTATGCAAAGGTTTCTCGGGGGGGGGGTGCGGGACCCAAAAATGGGTTGTGGTTGCTTCTGGTGGTTTGCCACATGACAGGGGTAATAGTATGTTTGCACAGGCCTGGGTGCCAGTCTGAGACTAAATGTCTAATTTAGGTCACTTGCTATAAAAGTTTTAAAAGCCCTGGTCTACATATACTCCAGACTGGCAGCCTGACATGCCATAAATGTAGCCTCTGTCCTCTCTTATGTCAACACATTCAATCCGAAGCTGGCTTGTCGCCACTAACTGTGCTGAATAAGTATTTAGCTGCTGTAGTGAAATCATCACTTTGTGTTGTCACGTTTCGAGATGGATACTCTCCTCACTCATGGTCCCATGTATGGAGTTTTGCTTTTAATTTTAGTCTTGATGTAGAGATGTAGCTCCAGTTAGCAGGGCTCTTGATTTTTCCCCGTCTTCAGCTCGTCTTCTGAAGCCCTGGCTAATGACTAATATTCCAGCTCTGAGGGACAATTGGTGATGGGACTTTTAATCTTTCTTTGTCCATATCAGTAATTCTGAGTAAATGAACCGTCAGTAAGACTGGAGCAAATATTATATTTCCCATCGTGTTCACGAAACGACAACGGCAGGAACTTTCGAGCAACTTCTGTTTCAGTATCAGACTGTGAAATATTTGAAAAGTGACAATGGGTTTCATTGTAAACGTAGCTTCCAAGTTGATGAATGACTCTCCGTCTCTTGTGCGTCTTTCTTTCCAAACACAATATCACCGTGATGTGATACAGACCCAGTGGAAACCAAGGTGCCCCTATATGGAGATCACATCAGCAGTCGGAAGATTCACGCCATGAGGCTAGCCAAGGACCGTAAGAAGTATTTAGCCAGGCCTGGATCAAGCAACAACCGAGAGCTCCCGCCGTCTGCCCTGGACAACGCCGAGCCGGAATTTGTGAGTGACGATGCAAAAGTATTATCTGTCTGCCGTTGCAAACTTGAACTAACAAACCAGGGTAGCATAATTGGTAGTGCACATTGGTCTTAGCAGCCCACTTACAATGAAAGATGTGAAATGTAGTGTTTGGTTTGAACCTCCAAACGCTCTTTGTATGCAGGGGCCTTGCAAAAGAGAACTTGATAATCTCATTCATGGCGCCTCTCGGGTCCTGAGCGTTTCTTTGTACGTACCCAACTGTGACAAAAAGGGATTCTTCAAGCGCAAGCAGGTTTGGATGCATCTCTTAAAGCTCCCAGTTTCATTCAGTGACGCAAAAAGTGTGCAGCCAACCCAATCGGACCTTCTCTTTTTTTTTCTTCTCTCTTGCAGTGCAAGCCGTCTCGCGGTCGGAAGCGAGGCGTCTGCTGGTGCGTGGACCGCTTTGGCAAAAAAATCCCAGGTAGCAACTCTCCCCGCGGAGAACTGCAGTGCAAAGATGTTGACAGCGGCAACAACAGCAGCGATTGAGAGCAAACCGCTTCCAGAGCCCAACTTCTTCCTCTTAAAACCTGCCAAACAAGCTAGCACACTTTATGACTGACAATCAGGAGAATATGGCACAAACACTTTGACTTTTTGTTGATTGTGATGGACTGCATTGTCTGTTGTAGAGAGGAGGCAAACCTTATATCCTATATCGGCGAGAAATGCATAGAGAGAGTTTTTCTTTCGTTTATAAAGTCTGTTGCAGTTCATATAACTATATATATTTTTGGAAATGATGAAAAAGGTGACAACACATATTCGAAATGTGGCTAACTATCAATACTTCTCAGTTGACTTTCCTGATATCGTTGAGAAGGGAGCACGGCTAACCAAACTAGCAGACATCTGCCAAAACGAGTGAGTTTTGTTCCGATTAGCAGCTTTTCTCAGGTGCAACACGATGGATACTTGAGAGTCACAAAATCCACTTTTAAACATTTAATCTGACTTAAACTCTTTATGGTCTTAGTTTAGCAGACAAGGCTCATTTCAAAATTTTAATACCCAAAGATTTTTTTTTCCAATCTGTCTTGGTCAGGTAATAAAATACCTCAACAGAGTTGATGTTATATTTGAGATTTTCAACATTAATGCCCAGCTATATATGATAAAAACACCTTTTTCTGTTATGTTGTAGGACTGCATTCGTGCAAAGTGAATCAAAAGGCTTTGATTGTTGCACCACAGGTCACTAGTTTGATTCCCAGGTTATCATATATATTTTTTAGCAATCCTGGTAAAATGTAGGTAGTTGAGACGATGTTTAGATTACCACTAAACCTTCACTAATACCAATTTCGATGAATCATTTCTGACACTCTGGGAACTTCTGTACCACAATCAGGGAAAGTTTTTTTTATTTTTTCGGGGAAATAAGCAAAACGGACAAAACCTCAGTCATAAAAAAGCTCATTGTACAGTTAAACTTCGAATTCTTTCTATTTCAGGCTCTCGGAGCTGCAGTCACTGTTTCTAAATGCCTGTACTAATGTTTGGATGCCCCACGAGTGCGTTTGTGTGTGCTTCTCGACGTCAGGATCGAGAAGCGGCTCAACCTTTCAGAGTGCATTTCCCACCGGAGCCCACACACAAATCGTATGCAAAGGCCCCGTCTTTCCACTCGGAGGGCCCTCGCCGCCAGGCCAGGCCCCCCCGCATGCAAATCCGCAGGCGACTCGCTCCCAGGGCTCACCGGGCCCTTCGTCCTGCCGGGAGCGAGGTCGCAGAGTTTGTACGTAAATGAAGTGCCTTCCGCCCCAGACTGCTTTGAATCTGGATTTGCATGCGGAGCCATCGTGTGGTTGAAAGAGGGCGACCCAAGCAACATTTAAAAAAAAGGGAAAAAAAAGGGAATAATAGTAATAATAATTAAAAAAAAAAAAAAAGGAATCATTTAATGTGTGGATGGGATTTGCTGACAAATTTCATGATCTTCCAGTCAAGTGCTGCTAAATATGTAATGACAAAGGACAGGATTGTGTTCTCCTTTATTGTTGAAATTGCAATGTTTCATGTAGTTTCAGCCGTGTAGCACATCAGCCTATTTAAAAAAAAAAATTTTCCTGATCAGGCTCTTCTCTTTTGCCGTCGACTCGCGCTCATTCAATCGCAAAACGGTGACTTTACGAACGCCACAGAAACTAAAAATTAATGTGAAATTTCTGATGGAATATTTAACGCACCTATAATTGATGTACTCCTTTTTTTTTTTTTTAAAGTTAAATCACTATTTAATAAACTTCTTGTACTCACTTAAAAAAGAAAAGCCTGTTGTGTGGGAAACTGGATTATGGTGGCGAAACGTTAAGTCAGATGTTTAGTGTTTTGTGACAACAAAAATGTAATTTTCCATGCGGGTAGTATCCAGTTTTTGCTGAAAAAGCCCAAAAAAAAAAAAAAAACGTGGTCATTTTTTTCTGGGTGTTACAGATTCACCCATAGGGGGCAGTGGAGAATTTCATACCGAAACCAAGCATTTTCTTTCCAACTTCAACAGCAGACAATTACAGACTCAACAGGTTTCTACTTTATTTTGCATTAGCACTTTATCATGTCAGATCCTCGCTACTTACTGTGCAACACAAATGAGGCACACCCAAAAACCTAATCTGCAAGCGAGAGCACGGAAAGACACCGAAAAACATTCCACACACTTCTCCATTCTTTCAAACAGTACAAAACACCAGTAACAAAGCACTCTGAGCATTGTTCCAGTTAGTAAAGCATAATCACTGGCTCTAAGACACAAACAGAACGCGACAAGTTGGTGACCATCATCCAAACCTTTTTTTTTTTTTAGGAAGCTAAGATTTGAGATGCAACCACCGATAGACGGACTGCAGACAAATACACACATGTAGCTTATAGCTTCCTCAGGTTGCTCCCGAGCGGTTGACAGTTTGGCTTATTTTCAACGCTCGGCCGCGTCAGATCTGGGTGGCGTCGGGCGGCTCCAGCTCGCTCAGGTACTGGCTGCAGTTGGGGTCGCCCCTCACGGCCGGGGCTGACAGAATGCGCTGGCCGGTGTGGGGGTCCACGCACCAGCACTCGCCCCGCTGACCGTGGAGCGACATCTTGCACTGAAACAGAATGATTTATTCAGTTTTTTTTAAAATTATTGTTAGTCATTTAATGAGCAAAGTTGCTAGGTAACAAAATTAGTAACAAGGTCACCCCGTCACCTGCAGCGCAATCCAAGGGGTGCTCCACCCGCCTCATTAAGTGGTGGGTGGATTTAGTGAGACATAACGGCTGCTGGAACAGGAAAACATCTAGCTGTCCATCAATTTTTTTTTCTTTTTTTGCCCCAATCACATGGAACTTCATCTTATTATTGCTGACAATATTCTTGCAATATCGCCAAAGAAAATTGCAGTTTTGGAAGGATTCCCTTCGGAAAAGACCCCGAAACCACGGCGAGATTCGCCAAAACACTTTGACTGAAGAAACCCGAATGTTTGATCATTTTTTATTTATTATCTTGTTTTTATTTCTGGTTTCTCTTTCAATGGGGAACCCCATCCACGTAGGTTATTTCTTATTTCTAATAGGCACAACCCAAAACATTAGTCACCTGTTTAGGGTTATACTGCCCCCTCTTGTCACAGTTGGGGATGTGCAGTGCATAGAGGTCCTCCAGAGGACCTCGGTTATCTCTGAAGGGCATCTTGGATATCCTCTCCAGGACCTGGTCGAGCTCCTGCTGACACTGAGTCTTGAGAGCAAACAAGAACAGAACAAAACAAGAGTTTCAAGCCCAAACAGAGGCGTGCGGGTTTCGCTGGCGCCGCCGGCTTCCTGCGTCGGTGAAAGGCTTGAAACGTTCAGAACAAAATGTTCAGGCAGCCCTAACCTCTGAGGTGTGTTCTGGTTTACTTTTACATCATCATAATAATAACAACAAGTTGGGTTTTTTTTTTTATTAAAATATAAAACCTCATTAAAATAAATCCAGGACACATCAACACCAGCTCAGGTTTGCCAAGCAATCTGAACACTGTTGACTATAAAATCCCATATTAAACACACAATATTGCTAAATGGCTTCCTGGTTTGCGCAAATTAGTCTCAATTCTTGCCAGAAATTGTATCAAATCTCGCCAACGGCCTCTGGTTTACCTCCCACTGCCCTGCCAAGACGTGTTCTGTTCGAGATCTGGCCTCTGAACGACTTTGTGTCGGTTGAAAAATAGAACATAGCTGGGCGGAAGATTTAAAGAGTTGATTGCAGAGCAGGTAGGCTGCAGACAGCCTACCTGAAAAGGAAGCCATTCGTACGAAACGTCGGCGAATTGGCGCCAACGCAATACGATTCATAAATTGTCTCCGCTGTTTAGGGGGACATTAACAGATTTCCTACAAACAAGAAGTGTTATTGACAGCAAAACTTGAGCAAAAGGAAATGTTCAAGAGCAGAAACACTTGGAAACAATCATTTTTCTACGTTGCGGACAGAAAGGTAAACGCGGCTCATCCCAGAGTCGTCCTCCTCAGCAGACACTCACCTGTTTCGGACGAGTAGGTCTCACCTCTTCCACCTTGTTGGTCTTCATTTTCGTCTTCATTTCCTGCCGGTGCTGGCGCACAGCGCTCTCCTTGGGTCCCAGCCAGGCGGCGTCTCTGCCGGGCTTTCGGACGGCCGGGATCTCGCTGGCGTCCGGGTCGGGCTGCGGCTCCAGCGCCTCACCTTTGATCCGACACATCAGAGCATTAGAAGACGAATTCCACTGGGTTTTACTGATGAACATTAAGGTATGTTTGGAGGGGAAACGAGCGGCGGCACTGGGACAATCTGAAAGTTAGAGGTCGTCAGGTCAGACCCAGTTCGTTGCCTCTGACAACCAAGCAGACTTTGGCATTCACAGAAAAAAGGAGCGGAAGAGGAAACCAGCTGATTTTGCAGAGATGGGGAAAAAAAACCCCGAAAAATCCCAGTTGACACAAATTCTTCACATAGCCCATTTTGGCTCACTGTAGCTGCGAGGAATAATATTTCAGAAAGCAAATAAATGTGCCAGAACACCGCTTGTTTTTGCTGAATCTCTGCAGGAGAGCACGCATTTTCGCCTATGCGGGGTTTTCCTGGGCACACGAACGAAAGGCGGGAGGAAAGCCAGGACAGCAGAGGAGGTCAAACGCCCGGCCATGCAGTGGATAGTTCGGAGTTATGTAGGTCAAGTTCCAACATGCCGACTAGAGGAAAGTGAGTGAAAACAAGTGTGTGTTTTAGCAGAAACGGTAGACTGAGGAGCCAATCTAAGAGCCCTGCAAGAGGTTAATGTGACGTCCGGTTTGGGATTAGGATCGCGAAACATCTGAGAGGGAATGGGGGGAAAAAAAAGGAAATTGAAAACTAAGCAATAACAAGGCGCTGGCGCCTTTCGCCATCGAATTGATCTGGAGTTGTTGGACTTGAGTTCTCTCCGTGACGCTCCACGGCGCTCTCTCCAGGACCTTTTTGAAGACGTCTTGCAAAACAAAGGAAAGCGGGGGCAAAGGTCAATTGAAACCAAGTGTGTCTTGACTTGCACATGTGCTTCGATCCGCGACTCCAGCAGATAAACACAGAGCACCCTCAAGCTGGGGCGCCGTTTTGTTTTGCTGGCTTACGTAATCCTCAAGAGTCACAAAGCGCTCGACCTTCGGCCTGTCTTTTCGCCGGAAACCCGAGACGATTAGTCAAGTGCGCACTTTCCAGACGCGCTCCCGCCAACGCTTGGTGCCGAGCAACGACTCGCAACCGTCCCGGGCGATTCTACGGACACAGAGGGTCAGCACCCCACTTTCAGGGGGTGCGAGGCCTCTGCAGAACAAGCTGCTTCACAGCAGTGGGCTGAGGATCAGCAGAGTCAACAGAGCAGCAGGCCTACTGTCCGGTCTACTGCTTGACTTAATCCTCACACAAAGGCCTAGAGAGACTTCCTTTCTGTATCTGATCCGTGTCGAATTCCCAGGTGGCACACAGGCCAGAGGTGACACCGTCCGATTGTCCGGATTCTGGTCAATCAAAACTGCCTAAAAACCGTTGTGTACCTTCATACTGGTATCTGGCACTTTTTATGACTGCAATGATGGGACTTTTTTTTTTTTATATGATCATATGTCACAATTCATCCAGCTTATGAGCACAAGATGAGAATAAAAGCAGGTTTCTTTTGTTCACAGTTTTCATAGATCATAAATTGTAGAACCTGCAGTGGCTGTACAAGAAATTCATTGATTTGAAGATGAATTATCCTGCGTAGATTTGCTCCGTCTGACTGTTTCCCATTTTCAGCTAGAAAGGAACAAACGCAGCTCGTCCTCGACGAAAATGTTGAAATATTCTCCAAGATTTGATCTCCTCTCCTTTGCAGCCGAGAGTCAAAGTGGATGGCGGTTCGTGTTTCGGCGTGTTTGAGCCCGCTGCAGATCCCATGCTAATTTATGTCCTACACAATTGCCCCAGAGTTCATCTAGCGGTGCCTGCAGAGGTAGCTCTGCCCAGTCTTGGAAGCAGCTGCGGGGATGCGTGCCAAAGCCTGCTTTTAGACGACTTCTTTGGGCCAAAACGCCTCGGAGGTAAACATATTAGAACTCTGACTCTTGAAATAACTGCCAATAGGCCTTGTAAAAAGTTCGAAACCACAACAAATCGATGCTGCCTTGCCTTGCAACGACACGTGACCCGTTTAACGCCTCAGAGGTGCTTAAAAACAGGAGTTAGATGATTCTCTAATGTTTGCTGGTTTCCATCCATCCACCAACTGACTTGGCCAGAGTCAAGTAGTCGTCTTAGCATCTGTTTTTTTATGGATGCAGTTTTATAATTTTGTAACCTACTTGTTTGCACTGAAAAGTCGATAAGCGCTACAAGTGACGAAATGCAGACTTTTAACTCTACGATCACCGAAATGTCAAAAAGTTGCTTTAGATTTGAAGCCGAAACGAATTTCAGACACGGAGGAAAAATATTTTAGTCACGTGTCAAAACAGGACACAGCCCGAAAGTCAGAATTATTCACACATATTGATTAAAATTCTACATGGCATTTCTGCAACATGAGGCAACACTGAACAAATGATCATGAGTTCCAGCTCTAAATCCAGCAAACTTGATTGATTGATTGCTTAAAGTAAGAATCTACAGGACACATCAGCTCACCTATCAACTGAATCATCATCGTCAGTGTCTTTGAATCTATTCTCACATTGGTAAAGTTGTCAGGAACCGCTGAGCAAAATGGACGGTGGGGAGGTTATTGTGGAGATTCCTGGCATGGAGGTGACCGGAGTGGACGCCTCAGGGGGACGACGGTGCAAATACCCGTTTTTAGACAGGATTTTTGGGGGGATTATCCCGCTGCTATTTCAGGCACCGCCAGATCCGCCTGGACACCCCGCAGGTACACAGGAATGCCACTTCTCAATGAATGACTCCAGCCGCCGAGGGCGCAGGTTGTTTTTAGCTCCCTTTTGTTTCCTCCGGCTTTCCTTCTCCATGGCAACTCTCACCATAACAGCAAAACGTCATGTTTTTCTTTCTCATTATCGCCGACTCAAATGGACTCCAATCGCAGCGGGGTGAAAATGAACTCTGACAGAGGGCTGTTTTTAGGATCAATCAGCAGTCGACATCAGCCACGCTGAGCTGCCAGCCGTTTTTACGACTCATCTAATCAAGACCGTGGAGTAGGGTTAGGGTTAGGGTTAGGGTTCAGCCTTTTTAAGTTGATTTGATCTCTCCTGAAGTCTCGGTAAAGTTCTAGTCAAAACAGCACTTGGATCTGATAAAGCTAACCCACTCGGATGTGGGTTTCCTTGGGAGCCTAATATCAAACAGTCTTTTGCATAAAGACGAAAAGCCTGTGTGAAACATGTCTTTCTTTGTGAAGAAGGACGTTTGAGGATAAAAATGAATACCAGGCATTAGAACACACTTTTACCCAAATGGGTTTAGTCATCTGTTGGTGCAAATTGAGGTATCAGAACCGTAAAAGAAAACATCGATTTCCTCACCTTAAATGTAAGATACTCCATTTTGGCAAAACAGGAAATATTCAAAGAGGTAAAGAAATATAAACCTCAGAACCTCTGCATGAGAACTGGCTTTTAAACTGTAATCTCTAATTTATAGCATATATGCATACGAATCAGCAGCTTTATCGAGCAAAGTCGACGCTAAATCCACAAAAATCTGACTAAACCCGCCGCACTACTTAGGCAAGTAGTGTCTGGTCCCTTTAAAGTGTCAGATTTTCTGTATAACAGGACAAAAGATCAGACGAGTCCCTGTTGTACAGTTGACTATTAAGCTCTTTAAGAGAAAAATAAGCTACTTTTAATCGAATGAATCGGAGCTTTTGTAAGCTCGTCGTCCTTTCCTAGAATATTCACAGCCAAGAACTTCGGATCGACGCAAAACGAAGAAAGTCGATGCAGAAACCCTGTTATGTGAAAAAAAAGATCAATTGTTTTGTTGCTTCAGCTTGAAGCACAAAGTTCTTTACTTTCTAGATAGTGCTCTGCACTTGGATGACGATAAAATTTTAACATTTTTAAACAGAAAAAAAATCCCCCAGTGTGGCTGGATAAAACATTTCTGCCAGGAAGCGATTCAGTAACGCTCCTCCAGAGACTCATTACTTATTATTGCACAGGCTCGATGGCAGTTGTTCCCTGCAAACGGCAGAACCGGTTATTAAGTTTCGGGAGCTTTTTCCCCTCAATAAATGCGACTGTCGTCTGCAAACGTCGTATCACAACGATGCAAACGTTGGTTCCTGTTTGGGGGTCACTAGAGGGGAAAATGACCAACTATAGTTTTCTGTTGCTTTTATGGCATTTGTACAACTGAGAGTACAGTGACTGTTTCTGTGTTTTGATTGGTTGGCAGGGTGGTAGAAGGAGACCTTCTGTCTACTTTCCTCTGTTTGATAGTCACTGAGAATTGGATGGTCGTCCTTCTCTCAGCCAATTAGCAGCGAGAAAATGAAACGCCGCTCTTGGATCGGCCAATCAAGTGGCGTAGCGGCTAGCTATTTAAGCTGCACTTTCTTCAAATATATCAGACCCCACCCCCCAAAAAAAAAAAAATCTGTGAATTGGCATATTTTTCTGCACCCATTTCTCAAAAATGTGAGATTCCATATAAGAATTTTTTTTTTTAATTTTGGTGCGTCGGAGTACATTTTGTTTCTCTGTCGCACAAAAAAAAAATGCGAAAGCATCACACTTTAGCTTCGCCCTGCGGTCGAAAACTGCTTTTCGGGTTCAGGCCAGCAGCTTCGTCCGGCCAAAGCTTTAAGGTCCGGCTTTGCAAGCCTTCTAGCATTCCTGTTGCTGTCCCCTCCCTGTTCTCCCCTGTGGAAACGTCAATATTTCAATGTTTTCTGTTTCGATCCAAGTACAACTTCAGAGAGTTTCTTTTTTTTCTTTCTTTCTTTCTTTAGCAGGCAACTTGTTCTCTGTTGTTGGGAGGGGAAAGGCTGGAGATCCAGCTGTTTTGGAGAGCAGCTGAGATGAACTGGCTGAAGTGAACTCAACACACATCTGTGACATGGTTCCACAAACTAAATGCATGACGATAAATAGAAGTTCTCCAAAAACACTTCTTAACTCATCGTTTTAGTCCTAAAACAATGTTATATGCCTAAGAGAGGTCACTGACCTTATTGGACGGTGCATGACGTCCAATAGGCTGCAGTCTAGACAGTGTCATTAAAAATCGATCGAGCTTTTTTTTTTTCTTTTTTTGCAGTGAACTGACTGACCGCTGCTGCTGCGCTCCCGCTGCTCCGGGCTGTAAGTGGCCGTCTCCGCGTCCACTTTGCGCCGACACTGGCCCTGGCCCTGCACCAGCTGCTCCAGGGGAAGCTCCGAGTCGGGCGTCGGGTAGCAGCGCAGACCGGCCGAGCACCTCGGGGCGTAGACGCCGCACGCCTCGCCCTCCCGGCGGGCGCACGCGGGGCAGCACCCGCAGCCCGGCTCGCGCACCATCTCCGCGCACGGCTCGGCGAGCTGCGGGCAGAGCGCCTGGCGCTCCGCGGTGCAGCCCGGGCAGCGGAACACCATCTCGGACAGGGAGGCGCCGGCGGAGGGCGCGGAGAGGAGCAGCAGCAGCAGGCTGCAGCCGGCGAGCCACGGCGGCAGAGTCGGAGGCGTGCGGACCGGGGTCATGGCGTCCGGGGGCCTGATCAGGAGACAATCCCGACTGGAGGAAAAAAAAAAAAAAAAAAAAAAGGAGGCGAGAAAATGTGAACAGGTGAAGCCGTGAATGGGAGGGAAAGGCTGCTGGGTCCTACAAGTTCCCAGATTTGGGATCTGTTATTAGAGGGAACGCGTCTCTTTATAGATGGGATGGTGGATAAAATGGTGGGGGGAGGAGAAAGGAGGGGGGTAGATTTTGTTTATTATAGTTATTTAAAATAAATCAAATTTCTCCCACTAGAGCAAACTATTTGAACTTGAACTGCAGTGAGGGGATTTCATCTGGAAAATGGCGTCCAGTTCTACAGTTCGAAGGAAACTGATGGGCAGATTCTTCATCTGCTCCGAGTCAACGGTTCCTGCTCCTCAAGATCTTGGCTTTGACTAGACCATTCCGTCGCCTGACTTGCAGCACTTCGGCTTTGGCGTTCCCGTCATCAAGTCTTTTGCATGTCCATCAATCTTAGCAGCTTCCACAGCATGATGCTGCCACTTCCACACTTCGCTTCGGCGAAACTGTAACTATGACTTTCCAAAGTTCTGTTTGCCGCAGATTTGTGGGTGAAATGATGCTACCGCTACCGTGTTGGCCCCCTCTGGTCATTTGTTAGCTGTGGCCCCTACAGATGAACACGCCGCACATTTCAGATTTTTATTTGTAAAGAAGTTTTTCACTTCCTATTTTTGCACCATGAATAGCTGGACTAGAGTAAAAATAATTGTAAAAAAAAAAAAACAACAAAAGTATTAAACATAACAGTAAGTATCTAGTGACATTTAATTTGGTGAAAGATATGAATTTTCCGACACCGTTTTGCACACAGCCCCTGTTAACCCCGTCCAGTGCTGCACACTAATAGGTGTTTATCCATGGGACCCAGGAATAGCTCTGGTATGTGAAACCTAACACCGCAGGTACAAATGCTGATTATTTTGTGTCGTGGCTGCACCCTGACTTCACGTTATTTGGCCCCGCTCACGCCTGCAGCTCACCTTCGGGGCTCGGGGAGGGAGAAAGGTGCGAGTCAGGAGGATGCCGAGAAGGCTGTTTGCTCACGGAACCTCATGTGTCATTTTGTGAAACCGTGGATGGAAAAGACGCAGGAGAGAAGGCCTGCTGTTTTAGAAGAGCGAGGATTTGATCACCGGCTAATTAGACCTAAGAGGCCGCGGGGTCCGCCAGTGTGTGCAGAGTGATTCCCACCAAGGTCATTTACTTCAATCCCTCCCGGTGGAATTGTTGGACAAACACAAACTCTGGATAAACTCTGCATTGATAGAGGAAGACCGGAGGATCGGTGATGAATGGGGAACACTCACGGCATGTTTCCCTCGTCGTTCATAAAGGAAGCTTTTTATAACGCAAGGCAGCTTCAGCCTTCAAGATCACAATGTGTCATTTATGCGATGGATACAAATTTGTCACATTTTTTCCAATGCTTGTCGATGGTAAGGTTTGGACAAAAAGGCCAATCTATCCCAAGTCTTGGAGTCTGGAGCCACTGGTGGAGGAATCTTTATAAGATGGATGTTTTTGGTAGAAATGTTGTTGGGCATTTAGCATTTTACTATTATTCTTCTTCTTATTGTTTTTAATCAAAATAGGCTGGTTGTACTTTGTTAGGATGTAGAAACTCGGCTGCTCCAATTTTCCAATGCTCTTTTACAGAGTTGTAATTCACAGTACACCTAAAAACACACACACACACACACGCACATGCGCACATACACACACACACAGATGTTTTTCACATAACTTTTGCATTCACACACAGCCTTTGTCAAAAGCTGGAGTTCTTGTCTTTAGATTTTCTCCCCGAAAAGATCTATAGAAACCCACAACTCCCTATTTGAGAGTCCACAGTGCAGAAGGTTTGTGTGATTCTTATTTTTTTTAATAACTCATACTGTAGTTAAAACAAGAGTATTTCTAAATGAAGTGCTTTATAAGGAATTATTACACCAACAACGCACTAATTAGCATCTAATGAAGGCTTTGCTGTAAAGCAAAACGGCTAATTGACATAAATAAATTGCTTTTGACACTTCTCATCCAAAAATATCCTCACAGCTGAATTCCTCTGGGTGAGATCCAAACCATGGCAATTATTATTATTATTTATTTATTTTCTACTTCTTTTTAGCCCTTGCCCTCTCAGCGGGCATTCCAAGGGTCAAAAATAGACTTTATTATCAGGAAAAATCGACATGGATTTGCTTTGCCGCGACTTACGACGCAAACGAACCGATAAAATCAAATAGAATACAAACATGCCATGTGTTCGCTTGCTGCAAAGCAACGGATGCATGTGCAGGAGCAGGGAACTTTGGTTTGCTTTGTTTCTTTCTGGCCGATGCTGATCACTACGAGGTGTCTGTTATGAAACCGCATTGTTTTGCTTCAGCCAATAAAAGTGAATGACGGCCTGTGGAAACAACTCTCTTAATGAGTTTGCTTAATGCACATTTGCACGGTGAATTCCAGATTTTATTCCCCCAATTACCATAACCCGTGCTGCACATGGCGAAGAACCCAAATTGAAATTTTGCAGTCCGAGGAGGGGAAAAAGGCAAGAAAGTGAACAGTTTATTTTATTCTGTTCATATCTCGGTGCGATGTTTTGTTTTTGCAATTAAAGATGACCACTGTTAAGAATTTATGTGGTTATCGGACAAGAATTAGATCCCAATGTAGGTTTTTTTTATGGTGTAAACCTATTTAGTGTCGAAATTCAACTAGCTTGTTGTTCTTACATATATACAAGACAAGTTTTGGTTCAGATTGATTTATGCTTCATGTTCTCTATTGACATTATTACATTGTGGCTAAGACCATTTCTGGGTAGGCGCAATAGCAGCCATGAAATAGATCAATATAAGAAGAAGTGATTATTATAAGAAATGTCAAAGTCTTTTTTTTTCTTCTGTTTAAAAAAAACTTTTTTTTAAACAATTGCAGCCATAATGCTTTGCAAAAATGTGCAGAATCTGTTTTGTCCAGATCATCCAGCATTATAAAGAAGTTAATTAAATAATTCGTAAACAGACATTTTTACGTACTGTACTTTGTTTTTCCAGATTGCTGCTTATCTTTTTCAAAAGTTGAAATCATTTGTAAATAATAATCCAGAGCAAGCATGCTTTGGCCTTGGCCACAAAAACTGGCACAAAAAAAAAAACAACTTCCAACTTCCACCAGATTCTCGCATAAAATATCCAAATCGTGGTTTTCAGTAAATAAACAAAAATCTATGGGCGAGACTTTTGACACATCAGGGCCACCGTAGAAACTGTCTGCCTCCTAGTCATGTGACGTAGGGAGAAAAACATCAACACCACTGAGCTCTGTTTGTGGCATTAGCATTCGCCGCTGCGCCGTTGCTTTTGTGTGGCGTTTGACGTGGAAATATTACGAATTGGCATCCAAAACACGAAGTGAGGACCGGATGTTAGCTCTTTGTTTTTCCGGTGTCACCGCGCAGGTAAGCTATTTCGCCTGTCCCCAGGAGAAAATAAGCCAGCGGAGCTAGCGCAGCGTTAGCTCCTGAAGAAGAGCGAATTGTTGGAATTGTAGAAGATTTAAGGATACAGTGTTAAAAAAAAGGAATAAAAAAGAAGAGACAACGTTGTAAGTATGTGTATTTACCTCGAAAACGTTATTAAGCAGCTACACGGAAACAAACCGCAGGCTTGTTCGTGTGTTCTGGGAGTTGTAGTCCAGTTGTAGTCCAGATTTCAAACACTTGTTTTGACATTTTACAGGATGGCTGCGGCTCCCCCGGGCCAGTTCTCTCTCGTGCAGAGTTTGGCCACCCTTCTTCGCAATAATGGTATGTTCAAATATATACATATGTATTTTAAAAAAAAGCAGAGATCAATGAATTTCACTGCAGCTCAAGTTTCAGGTTATTGAGTCCAATCAGAACCAGGTGGTGTGAGGAAATTAAAAGACCTTTTAGTTTCTACGAGGAAGAAGAGATGGTGGCTTTAGTCAATGATTTCTCTCTCTCTCTCTTTCTCTTTTTCTCATTTCAATCCCTTCTCCTCTGCAGGTGACGTAGTCATGGATGGCAGCAGCACGCTGACCCTCCCCGCCTGCACCCTGCAGCAGCTCATCAGGCTCTTTGAGCAGTATTTGTTGTCCAGGAGCCAGCAGCATGGCTTCCTGGCGCTTCCTTCCCATCCGGCCGACACGTCCTCTCTGTTACAGCTGCAGTTCCTGTTCGACGTGCTGCAGAAGACGCTCTCTCTCAAGGTGAAGGAGCCCTGCTGCACAGTGGAGCGTCTCTGACGCCACCCAATATAAACCATATTTTGAACTTGGGCTTTGACTGGACCAAGTTTCTGTGAGACTGGCTGCAGCTGGTGTGAATTTAAGGATCAGTATGAGTCTGTCATGCTATGGGCCAGAGATATATTAATGGTGCTTATTGATATTTAAGGGTTGAAATTTAATTTTGAGAATTTAATTTGACTTTTTACAGTTGAAAATGTTCTTTTTATGTAGTATGCAAATTACTGTTTGCAGATATTTGTCAGATAAAGGTGTATTATCTTGAGTTAATCCTGACTAATATTACTTCATCTGGTTGGATCAAAGCACAATCTATCAATAGACATGGGTGAGTCAGTGCTATGCTGCCCCCTGGTGTCTGACTTTAAGATGTAACCATAACCCTATTGCTCTCTTTCTGTTTATCCAATCGCAGCTCATCCATCCGCCTGGAGTGAGGCTGGAGTCAGCGGTCAAAATCTTCCCTTTCAAGTCTCTCAAGTGTTTAGAGGTAAAATATGAACTTTATTTTTTACACTCGCACGCAGTTCTTATGCAAAGTTTACACACACTTAATATAAATATTAAACTCATTTCAGTCTTTTAATTTGTAGTCCATAAATATTTGAGATTGTGGTTTTGGCAGTGGCAGCACTTTTTTTCCCCTTGGTGCTGATTGCCTGAACCTCCAAGAGCTTGTAGAACTATGAACTATGTGTGTATTAATGCATAGTGAGGTACATTTGGTGTTTAAACTA